GGGGCTGCTCCAGCATCTGGAGCAGCCACTGTTTGCAGTAAATCCGGGTGCCTTGCATGCAGGAGCTTGGAGCCAGTAGAGCCAGCCCCAGCACAGAACTGGAGGCGGGGGCCCTGCATGCTGGGAGCTGCTCCGGCTAGGCTAGAGCAGTCCCCAGCCCAGATCCTACTTTAGTCGGTTAACCAGTTAAACATTAGGTCAACCTAATGCTGAACCAGTTAACTGATTAATTGGGATTTTACATCCCTACTGATAATTCTTATACAGCTGGTCTCCGACTTACGACCACCTCCGCTTACAACAATCCGCACTTATGACTAAAGCGGTCATAAATGCGGTTCCCGAGTTACGAACGTGATCTGCGCTTACGAACTGCGTGGTCGCTATGTAACTCAATGGATCCGAGTTACGAATACATCGAGTTACGACCAAGTGTTTGGTCCGTAACTCGTTCATAACTCAAGGACCGGCTGTAATCTGCTCAATTTGTTCTGTTATCAAACTGCCAAATACTACGGTAATGTGATTCCTGGGTATTAGGTGAATTCCATATAGTCAATGGAATTACACCAGAGAGAATTTAGCCATTCATGTATTTTACCAATGCTTCTTTCTTCCTTTGTGCGTGAATGTATCATTAAACCTGTTAAAATTAATGCTACAAGCCTGACTTTGATTTAAGATTCCAGTAATCCAGAAAACTCAGTCATACAATTAGCAATTATAGTTATTTAATTTCATTTCCTTTTATTTTTTATGTTTTTGCTGTAATCTTTGTCCCTTATTTAGCTCTTTTCCCATGACATCTTCCACTTCATGGGTGAAGACAGCTTAAGCAAAGCTCTCCTCCACTCCAGGATTTATTAAGGGCCTAATCCAGAGCCCATTGGAAAGATTCCTATTGATTTAAAGTTTAGGCTTTGGTTCAACAAAATACATAAACTAGTGAACTGACATGCTTGAAGTTAGATGTTTAACTATCTTAATGAATCATTGCAGTAAGTGGTGGGAATTCGGGGAGGCAATCTTGTGCATGAGTGGTGTAATCATGGACAGTGGGATATGCTAATATATTAGAAAATCCTAATTTTGCAAATTTAAGTTAATTTATGTGAAACTATAAAATATTCCATCCATCATAATACGTGATCAGATTCATTAGATACATTGATTAATGGCTGATCATGATACATATGTGAATACAATCTTGGTTTTTACTTTCCAACGAATAAATGCATTGCATTAATATCTTTATTGAACTGAAAAAACTGGAGCAGGAGATTCTAATGAAAACTTAACTGTTTCACCATTATCCCCTCAATATTTGCTTCACTTTACACTCAGAGCTTACTGGAAGCACTCCAAAATCCAATCTCCTCTTCACATATCAACTTGTGGAAGTTGCCTGTCATCCAGGGATCTCCAAAAAGTTGGTGCCTTGGAGTATGAGATTTCTTCACTTACCTCTTGGCAGGAATTCTTTCACTGCATTAGTGTGTAAAGCAGTGGACACCAAGCAGTAGATCGAGTGACAGAACTGAGGACACGGATAATGGGGAAACCCACTTCTCTGTATGTTGACATATTGTAATTCATTGTGGACTTTCTGAAGAACCATGGACTGCTGACATTCTCTTTGTCACCTGAAGTGACTGTGATTTTCCACTTAGTCTTTTTCTACTTGTTTTTGTTGTTACTTGTTTAAAAAGGAATGGTGTGACTAAACTAGGAAAAACAAAGCTAAGAAAAATTCTGGAAAGGATATATGGGGGCTCAGAAATCAGTGCTGCTCACTCTTTTTGTGAGACTGGTACTAAATGATTTCTTCATATTCTCATTTTAAACATTCGGCTATGTCTATACTGCTCCCATTTTATGGAAAAAATATGTAAATGAGGCTCTGCTTTTGTGCAAGACACTTTTGCACAAGAGACGTTCTTCCGTGTTTTTTTCAGGAAGAACAGCTCTTGCGCAAGAGGGGGTTTTGCACAAAAGTCTCTTGTGCAAAAATGGAGCCTCATTAATTATGCAAATGAGGTGAGGCGATATTCCACGCTTTGCATATTTATTGTGCCAAACAGGTGCAGTGTAGACATAGCCTCTGTATAGCGCCATTGGTCGCTCATGCCTATTTAAATGTGATCCATTGAGCTGGAGTTTAATGTCCACTCAGACAAAAAAAGGTATTTAAGTCTTTGCTTGAAATCCTTTTGCTATGAATTGATTGTATGGAGTATAGATATTAGTAAAAGCCACTAATCACTGCCCTTTGAATCACAGTAACAGATTAAGGCAGGGGTGGGCAAAAGCCACTAGTGGGCTGGATCCATTTAGGGCTATGATCTGGCCTGCACTGCTGTTCCAGGCCCTGTCTTAATGTATAACTGTGATTCAAAGAGCAGTTATCTATTTTCAGTACTTTTACTAACATCTATACTCCACAAAGTTGGGAGGGATTGCTAATAACAGAAGAGGACTAGAATATCATACAAGAAATTTTGGATGACCTTGAAAACTGGAGTAATATAAATGGGATACAGTTTGATAGTGCAAAGTGCAAGATTATGCACTTAGGGACTAGAACAAGAAAAAAATATCAGTTTTAGGGTGCATCAGGTGATGTATTTCTATTAGAGATAGAGAAATGTTACTATCCCTATACAAAGGACTAATGAAACCTAGGGTTACCAGATGGGTTTCAAAAAAATACTGGACACGTGATCTCAGAATGGGGGAGGGGGAGGAGAGAGAGGCACTGGGGGAGGGGCTGGCTGGGGGAGATCG